TCTGTTCATTAAATAAAAAGGGGGAAAAAAAAGTATGGCAAATTTCGTTTGAAAAGAAACAGGAAGCATATGCTTAATATCACTTAAGAAAACCCCTAGCCATCATAAGGTTAACATCAAATCACAAATGCAAAACAGTCATTATTGTATTTACTCAAAAATTTTCTTTCACTTTACTAGCTTTTTAGGTTTTCAATTGAAGCATGCGTTTTTCAGGTTTCAATCTAGCTTCTTTCATCAGATGCTATTGTAAGAAAGGCTGGCTGAGTCAACATTTGCTTACATTTATTAAAAATAGTTGTCTTGTGTTTACATAGCTCCTTTGATCCAGAAAAATCCCCAAACACTCTGTAAGTTATACTTGAAAGGGTAATTTCCTCCACCCTGAACAGAACCACGTTGGGCCCAAGGCATGGCAGCAGATTAGGAATGGATAGAAATATCACAATAATTGGGTTGGTTCTCACCCCCTCAGAGAACCAGCAGTTTTCCATGAGCTTCAGAACAGTTCCTGGGACCATAATGGTGGTTTGGACTTAGGGGGCAAAAAGCAGTGCCAATACTGTCTGTCCTCTTGAGGATTGCCTGTTTTTCATGCACTTGGCAGATTTAGAGGCAGTGGTACCTACTGCACCAAGCACAGGGCTGGTGGGATCTCACCCAGGCCTACTGTTTCCAGTTTGCAGCATCTCATTCCAGAGAAGACATGGATCAGAGCCAGGGAAGAGCAGAGGAGAAGATAGAGGGAAAGCACTTGAGGACTTGTAAAGAAAGGTGAAGGGAATTGTTTGTTTAAAAAAGAGAAGGCTGAGGTGAAACATGATTAAATTTTCAAAGTATGTGAAAGGCTGCTGAGAGGAGAAAAGGAATAAACCTGTCCTGGAGAACAGGACAAGCCATGGCCTCACACTGTGGCAAGGGAGATTTGGTCAAACATTAGGCAGTAATTCTGGGCATCAGAAATGGGGAAATGCTGGAATGGATGGCTGGACAGACTCTGGAATTGTATCATTATCACTGTTTTTTTGAGACTGGATGACACAAATGTCAGGAGGGGTTTAGATCTTATTCCTGTGTCTGGGGCAGATGGGCCAGAAAGACTCTCCTGGTCCTGACCTGTGTCCTTCTGCTGTGGTCAGATGAACCCTGTTAACATGGATTAACCAAGTCATGCTAAAAATTAGTTTGTGAGCTCCCTTCAAAGTCCTCACAAGACAAACCAGAGAGGAAATTCAATGTGTTGCTGGTGTGTTTCTTTTATTTTTCAGCTTTAAAATGCTCCCAAACCATCAAGGTGCTTCAGCACACCCCCGCTTGGAGGACTTGAATAATGTAATTGCATTCAGTGGAATCTGTGGACAAAGCATGTGCCTGAGGCCCCATTTTTGGGGAAAGTTTTACACATTCTAATGATAGTAAGACAATGTATGAGTAATGCACTGATTTGAAAAACTGCCCTATTATCTGATCAAAAGAACAAGCTCATGAATATGATACCGCAGGTCATTTGGCTAAAACCTACCTGGAGTCTTCCAAATCTTTAAAACAATCCCATACACAGAAGCAAAAAAGAGAGGTATGAACAGCAGAGCCAGTGGTTGCCTGTTAACCACAGATCATGTGGAATGTTTTATTAAAGATATTTTATCAGACATACAAGGCTGAAATACAGAATATTCTGGTCTGGCAAGAGAAGACGTGATAATAATTTAGATTATTATCCCACAGATCTCTGATTCATTTTTATTATTCTCTATGTTCATTTCAGGAACGCTCAGATGCTCCCCAAGGAAGGTTTCTGGTTGAGTTCAGGGAACTCTGCTTCAACCTTAGGGAATGTCCGAGGGTCACTGAGATCCTACATGCACATGCAAACCTGCTCAGAGGGAGTTTGCAGAAGTCATCTCCTGACACCAGGGCCACCCCTAAGATCAGGTTATAATCCAACCTGGCTGTCCAGGGCCCCTCTGTAATGCCTAGGAAGTGAAAAACCTTGAGCAAGAGTAAGATTCCCCTTAGAGACCTGCACTGCAGTGGGGTGGACCAGCTTCTGGAAAGATTTCTCTCCCCATTCACTACAGAAACAGCCTAGTTAAAAACTGGGACCAGAGGTTTTACAAGGACTTATGGCATTTGGTAAAAGGCATAATTCTCTTTAAATATCTCTGAACAACCTTGGCAGTTAGCTAAAAGTACATTAAGAAAATGTTTTTTATGGATAAGTTGTGATTCATTTGCTATTAGCAAATGCTTTGTAGACGTTAGTGGAAACACACTGTTCTTCTCTTATAGAGCACTCAAGGAGTTTTTGAAAACAAACAACCCCACCTAACAGTATTTATCTTAACAAGAATGCTTTTATACAAATGTAATGTCTTGAAAACAGAAAATAACCTCATTAACTAAGAAGTGGTCAACAATTCTCAGGTCCTTGAATAAGGGAGAAAAGAAAATCAACAAAAACCAAGCGATCAACAACAACAAAAAACCATCAACCCCCCACAAAACAAAATCTAAACACTTATGGAAGTTGACTAGAATGCAGAATCATACAGAGACATAAAATGTTGATTTAAGGGAATCCCTTAGATGTAGCTGGCTTATGAGTGGGCTTGTGATGCTTTTGCAGGTTCCCTGGCCAACCTGTGTGCACAGAACATCCCTGAGGAGTAGAAAGTTTGTGCAAGGGAAACTTTAATCTTACTGGAGAATCAAGCCCATAAAAAGTGTCGAGCGCAGGATACACCCAAACTGGAAGTCAGAATGGCATTTTGATGATTGTTTTAAAATAAAAATTTAAATTTAATTAATATCAGACCCTCCTTGTAGTTCAGAATTTAATTTAGGGCAAAATTTTGTAGTTCTGTAACGTGGCAATCAGTACCAAAAGATGAGGACAAACACCTACCCGTGCTTACCTTAGGGAAATCAGGTAAAGGGGAAAAACCCGAGTTGTGATCCGACTGTCAGTGCTGCCAGACCTGTGCACCACATCATCACTCAGCAGGATAAATGAGAGCTGGATCAGAAATTGAAGCTTGTCTGCATTTGTGTTGGATTACCCAGAGTGTGCAGTACCTCTTTTTGTCAGAAGTTTGCTTTAATGGTGCTTTGTGTTCACTGTGGGAATGATGTTACTTATGTTACAGGAGCTTGGCCACACAGTTCCTAATCCAGTGCCATTCCTGCCAGGCAGATTGGAAACAGCAGCATTAGTTTATGGCAGATCAGCTCTTTGTGTTAAGTGACTGCAGCAATTCTGATGCAATATAGCAGAAACTCTAAAGCTGGGTGTCTTATATCATCACTTCAAGACATAAACCAACCACTCACCACGGGAATTCAGAGAACTTTCTCCAGCAAGCCTTGATTGCAGAGTTCTCTGTTCACAGCAGTTTATTGCTCTGGAACAAGCACTGCTCCTCAGTGTCAGAATCCTGATACTGGTTAGATGGATTATCTGCTCCCATGAAGCAATTCCTGTCTTTAATTGAAGACTGCCTTCTCTTTTTACTCTAATTCATTGCACATTAGTTAAGTTCACTTCTAGCTGCTGAACCACTGTCCCACCCAGAAGCTGTGGTGACAGTATAAAGGATGAGGGAAGAAATGAAGTGACTTCTCCCAAAACTCAGGGTGAAGTGTAATGTGCAGGGATTGTCCATGGCATTTGATGTTGACCTCTTCAGGGTGGGCTCTGATCTCCTCAGTTTGTGATTGACTCAGCACATTTGAAGCATCTCAGCTAAAATCTATTATAGTATTGCTTAGACAGAGAAAGACAAAAGCCTTTAGTCCTTCTAAATTCTGTTTCTGTGCAGGAATCTGAAGTAAGATGTTATTCCTTTCATCTGATATTATGCAAGACACAACCTTTTCCTTCCAAGGTCAAGATCCTGGATACTGTAGCTAAATATTTATAGGACTGCATAACTTCTTACCCCATTAAGAATTATATGAAGGTCATTTTCAGTGCCTCCAAATCCCCTTTATGCAAGATTTAGAGAATCTACAGGTATTAGTGTCACATCTTTTTTTTCAGGGGCCCTTGCCATTTTTCTCCTCACTTCTCAGCAGAATGTTTTGGGTTTAAGTCCAAAATCCACCCTGTGCAGTTTGCATGCTTGGTTGTGCTGCTCCCTGACAACTGGTGGATTATGGATCTTCCAGTAATGAATGCAATGGGGGCATTTTATGAAATGGAGATTACAGCCTAAACTTCCAAATCAATCATAAATGGACCTTTCTGACCTCCAGTGTCATGGGAGTCATGATGAATTCCAACCTGCAAATTCAAATCAAAGCACTAACTCAAGCTACAATCAATAAGCAATCACACTGCTATTGAGGCAAATCCACAGTCAGGGAAACCTAACAGCAACTGAGTCTGGTTTTGGCTTTGTGATTTGATCCAAAATGGCTTAAAGCCAGGAAAAGAAATGAACCTGCTCACGCTCCCATGCTCAAGGTTATCAGTTGTGTAAGGGGATCCTGGGAAGTTCTTTAAGGCTTGTGAAACAGGGAAGGAATGTATTCTGGACCCTCCTGGTCACTCAGTATGTGCTCCATGGTGAGTAAGACATGTCACTGAGACATGGCAAATGTTCAGACCTTTGGTGGGAATAAAGGACATAAGAATCAGGTCATCCTGGGTCAGCATGAGGATACGTTTAGCACCATTTCTGATGCTGAACAGTAATGGATGCTTAAAAATGGAGAGCAGTATGTGAGATACATTAAGAGCAGTCCCTCCTCTGACTGTATTTTGTCAGCAGCCAGAAGCTGAGGGACATCCTGGATCAGAGCTGTTTCCACATCATCACAGTTATCAGTCTCTGGCTCTCTCTTTGGTGTCTAATGTGTACATAAAATAATAACAATGATAATGATAATGATAATGGTAATAATTGGAATTGACATTCTGGTTGCTACCACTTGGGATGACAGTTCACAAAGTAAAGTTCTCCTGTTTAATTTCCTTCTCTTGTGTTTTCTTCCAGCACCACCACATTGCCTTCCTACATCAGGATAACCAATGGCTACATCACAGTCAAGCCTCCCATCTGGATTTCCAACCAGCTGGATCAGAGGCCGCGTCCCCAGCGCCCATCCCAGCCCCAGCCCACGAGCTCAGCCCCAGCCAGCCTCTCCTGGCCATCAGTAACAGTTCCTCTCTGCATGGCCATAGCTTCCTTTCTCCTGAGCCTACTGCAGCCCTCCTGACCACATTATATCACATGCAATCCCTTGGAATAGAGAGATAATTTATGAACAAATTGGAGTTTAAGACAACAGTTACAAGCTGGACCTTCTCAGTGACTCAGTAGTGCCTTCTAGCTGATTTTGTCTCTTTGCCCAGATACATTTTGAAACTCTAAAGCTTTATTGTAACACTGACTTACATCTTCTTTTTGTAGAAGGATCTTTATTTCCCATAGTGCTATGGGGTTTTGTAAAATATACATGTTCATATAAAGAAAAAAAAAAGAAAAAGAAAAATGTATTTATTCAACTGGTAAACTTATTTTTCTTGTTGTATATGTTAATAACATCCCTATTAATCAGTAGCGATGGTGAAACAGATAAATTAATATTTTCTATATGTTTTCTGACAACTCTGCAAATGTCTGAACTGACACCAAATGAATGCTTTCTTTGTTTCTTTAACCATTACATTTTACAGCAACTGTCCAATAAGTACATTTCTGCTGAACTTCTTTATTTTACTTCTTTTATCTCATTAGCATATCTTACACTGAATAAAGCAGATTCTGCTCTCTGGGGCCTTTGCCCTTTAGAAAAATAAGTCCATTCTTAACTCGTTAGCTGCCACAGTCTAAAATACCAGTTATTTTTACATGACACAGTAAGTCATTATTCAGGATAATCCTCTACATTCCCCCTGTTTTCTTTAACTAAACTATTTAACTTCTTCAGAAATTACCAGTTTCCTTCTTTGCCCTGAAATTAATTCACCAGCTAACACATATTAAAACACCCTTTTCTTAATAAAAAATTGCTTTCAAAGTCTGGAATAATCCTACTTGGAATTATTTTCTTCTCTCCCTCATTTTATATAAATATAAGCCTACAACTTTCTTGAGCAGAAATGAGAAGAGAGCTTGGCCTGTCTATGGGTTATAAAGATGTAGTGCCCTGTTAATCTATAGAACTCCTTTGTACCAGTTGTATTCATGCCCATGGACAACCTGGAGGCAAAAAACATCTACAAATTCCTCTTTCTCTTGCTACCATGAGCTGATAGAGCTGATATCTCTGTGCTGAAATAATTATGTCTTGTCCAAAATCTGCTCAACATCACAGGAACCAAACTAAACCCCCATGTTATGGAGACATGCAGAACATTCTTCCATTTTTAAACTATGGTACCTGACTTAGATGGAAAAGTTACAACACCTTACCCTCACTGAAAAATGTGCTCCCTCTCCAAACAGCTGTTGTTGAGGGATGAGATTTACAACATCTATGTGGAAAAAAACTCAGTGCCATCTTAAAAATTATTATGTTTAAAAACATAATAATTATGTTTATGTAGATGTTTTTTCACTATCAAAACGTGATGAAAAATCTCTGGATACAAGAGTTTATAAAATGAGTTTTGGTTGAAATTGTGGGGTTTTTTTCCTAAGTCATCTACAAACAAAAAATCAAAACTATGTGATGAAAACATCTTTTTTAGAAGTCTCCAAATCAGAAAAATACAATACAAGCTTTTCTTTAAAAGCACTAAGAAAAGCAGTGCTTCTTCACTTTGGAAAAAAGATAATAATGATCATTATAGCAATGTCACTGGTAAAATTCTGGCTGAAAACAACCCTGTGAGTTTCCCAGCAGCCCTACAGCCTGGTCTCTGGAGCTGCAGATGATTCCATGCAATCTGCAAGACTCTGCAGTGAGAGAGAGTTCAGAATTCACAGTTTGCTTGTTGTCATACCAGTTATTTCATGAAAGTAAGTTAGAAAGAAACTAGATATGAAAATCACAGGATTTCATGATGAAATACTGAGCATTTCCATCCTGCATCCCAGCCCATTGCCTTGCAAAGGCCAGGGACAATACAGGTAATTTCTTTTTAACTTTCTGGACGCCATGATCCCCAGCCTCTGCTCTGTTTTTGACAGCAGGTTGTGCAGGTTTCTGGTCAGTTTAAGTGGGTAACAGCACAGAGTGCTATAAGCTTCCCCCAACAGTTGATAAGGCTGAATGGAAAACTTTGAGCTTTGCCCCAAATGTGAGATTCAAACAGACCCCGTGCATACTTTCATATTGTGTATTTTGGCTAGCAGAAGATTAGAGATGTTAGTTTTGGACAGGAGCCATTCACCTTGCATAATATTTATTGCACAGAGATGGATATTGAAAACATATTTTGAGAACTTTCATTTTGGTTTTATTTCAGCTATTACTCTAGAAATGCCTTCATTTGAATATTATGGTTTAAGAGACCTTCAAATTGAACAGTAATGCATTTTAAAAAGATTATTGGTTCTCCTGTGTGTTCAAGGCAGAGATGAAAACTAAATTATAATGTCTTATTTACAAGACTGTAACTGGAAATAAGGTAGGTAAATCTAAAGGGTGATGATAAGTTACATAGTAAAAGTGAACAGCCAACAAACCAAAACCCGTTGAATTTTATTTGTTGTAACCGGATTGTATCCAGAAATTATTCTGTGGTGCTGTCCCAGGAATAATTCCAGGTGTTGGAAAACCTACAGTATAAATATACAGGACCATGTAAAGATAAGGGAGAGAAAAAAGAGCAGAAAACAAAACAACTTGTCCAAGACTGTAAAGAAAACCAACAACAGGACCAAGACTAGAAATTAAAATTCTGAAGTTTCCCAATCTGTGGCTTTCTCCATAAACCTCTGCGTCTTTTTTTTTTTTAATATTAGGAGCAACAAATCTCTCCACACTCCCAGCTGTCACTGTGCTGCACAGAATAGTCACTCTTTTATCACCAGTGAGGTTTTCTGGACAGTAATATTCAATTTTCATTAGCTCAGATACTGTGGTATGTTTGGCTATCACAGGATGTAAATGCCTTGGATATCAAAGTATGTTTTAACATCTTTGCATTTCCTGGCATTTCTCTGTAATTCTGGGAAATTAATGAATTTTACTAGAACCTCTGTGCTGGTGCCCCACATTTGTGCAGCCCAGGTGTCAAAACAAGGTGTCTGCTGGATTTGGGCTCTACACACCTGATTTTTGCCACCTAGAAGGAGCTCCATCAGTATCTGAGCTCTCTGTGGCTCAGGGAGGAGACATGACTTAAAGATTAAATAGGTTTCTGTAGATCTTAGCTCAGGAACCCCAAATGAATGGCTTCAGCACAGGTCTCTGACCAAACACTCCTTTTATTCTCTTGTCTTTCCCTAAAGTACAACTTTGGCTCACTTTCTTCAGTACAGTGTGCAGAGCAATGCTGGATAATGAACCCTCCCTGTGGTTGATAAAATGAGTTGTTTACTAATCAGCTGTGGCAGCCCAGCATTAATTAAAACACAGTAGTAGTGGTTAGCACAGACTTATGCACTCTGTCACAATGGATCATGATTTCTGAATTTCTAATGGTTTTCTAAACCACGACTTTAAAACCTGGACCAGATTTCATACGTGCTCCGGAAGCAGCACTGACTACCAACTTCAGAGGGCTTCAGTTTCCTCTGTGGGTTTCTCACTGACTCAATTCTTTCTTCCAAAGGAAAGCTCAGATTCCCATGTTATCACAGGGTTCCAAGAGCAGGAGATTTAGCAAAAACATTCATGCCCACCACATATAAAAGCAAACAGTGGTGATCCTGCTTATCTCTGAGCATCAAGAGAGTCACCCCATGTCTGGCAGTTCAGGACACGACTTTGGGTGAGTCCAAAGCTCAGTGGTCTCATGAATCATCTTCTCAACACTGTTGCAAGGGACAGCAACACAATTCACATTAAATGTGACTGTAGCATTATCAATAAATGCTGAGTACCTGCCAAGATCTTGCCCTGATGGAATAAATAATCTCATATCATCAGCAACAAGTCTAATCTCTCCCCTCTCAGTGTTTTAATGCTTTTCTTGCCTAACTACAAACACTATATTAACATGCACTGCCACTTGGAGAACCAGTCAGTAAGCTGGGACAGAAGGTATTTTATATTTTATGACTGAAGTAGTTTCTCTTCAATCCCTAGAGCTGTTGAATAATGCAATAAGTCTTCTGGCAATAAATGATGAACATGATTTATGATAACTATGCTTTATACAGGTGTCAAAAATCTGCTTTGTTGAACTTCCCTTCCCATTCCTCTAAGCTCCACTGTAATTTAGGAACACCCAAGGTACAGAGTTGTATATTTATCTAAGTTCTTCAGTATACAATTGTGGAGAAAGAGAGAATGGAAAGAGGGAGAACTTAATCTGTGTTTAGTGCATTGATTAGTCAAGTGATATGACTCAGTCATTACCATATACCACTGTTAGGAAGGAATTTCCCATCATATATTTATGTTAGAGAAACCAAAGTGCCAAGGTTATTATCTCAGCATAAATGTTACCATGCCAAACTTTGCTTAGTACCGTATTTCTGTATTATATCCAAAAATTGTATGGTCTTGTCATATCTCTGAAGTAATCAATGTTCCATGGAGTGTGCTAAAACCCAGCTTCAATTTAAGCAGATTTCAGCTTAACTGAAGCAGAAAGATAATTTGCTGAAGTTTGAGATCACAGGGTGTGGGGATGTGTGTGTGTGTGTGTGTGATGTGTGTGTGTACATTTACGTGTGTATGTTGTCTGTGTTCTGTCCCAACCCAAATTCAGCCTTTTCTATGACTAACATTTCAGGAGGCACCTTAATCTAGCTAAAGGCAGAGAGGTCTTTGCAATAAGTGGGCAATACTTTCCTTCTACAGGACTGATTAACCATCCTGCAGATCATGCTCACACCGAAATTCAAACTGCATACTTGTCTGTTTTCAGTTCAAATGTATTTCAGATATTTTTTCCTGTTCCGTCTCCTGCTTTTGTGAACAGTTTTGAAGAGTGTAATAAAAAGATGCTTTCTAATATTATTTTATCAAAATATTTTTGTAGCATAATATATTAATAAAATGTTATTATAAATCCATAGCACAATAATCTTGTGTGTCTTGATTCTTTCCTTTGCACTAAAAGCTAGAGAATCACTGAAAGAAAGGAACATTCTGTT